TTTTTCCTGGAGGATGTTCTTCCACGACAAAGAGGAGGGCAAAAACTGTTGAAAACTCCACTATTTCTGTGAGTTATTGTCCGTTAATATAATAATTTTTATTCAGATATATGCTTGATATAAAAATATGACATACATTTTGAGTCAGGTTTTGTGAATAAAACAATTATTTTTAATTTTAATTTTAATTTTATTCTTTCATTTAAATTTTTTTTAATTCTAATTATATTAAAGTAACAGCCTTTATACGTCTCACTGCTCGGCACAGACATCCTCTCATTTTTAGAGGGTTTGGTTTTTTTTTTCAGAAATAAGAAGAATTATATTGTTAGTGTTTAAGTGTTGCTGACAACTTCTGAATATTGTCAGATGGTATCACCTTTTACCTGCACAAGATATAGTAATTACCACAGTTATATAGTTTATTACCACAGTTATTTAGTTATAGTTTATATACAGTGGCACCTCGTCTTATTAAGTGACAGAATGCAAATTAATAGTATGACTTATTCCGAGTCGATAGTAGAGATGGGCCGAATATGGATTTCACCGAATACGAATATTCGGCCGAAAGTTCGGCTTTTACCGAACCGAATATTGGGCCGAACATTAATCGGCAGGATCATATTGGGCCGAACATTATTCGGCAGGATCACCTCGGTACCTAACTAATTTATGTCGAAACTTGTTACCGTAAAGCGCGCGGGATTAGCATCGGATCCTGCCCCTCGCTTCCGCGCCACACCTACATGTTATTGCATCGTCTAGTACCGAGCAGATTGCCGGCACACGCTTATGTTTTGACCATTTATGTGAGAAAAAAAGGATTTCGTCGTGTTATTCTTAGTGAACATTGATAGTTATATAATAAAAATGAGTGGCAGGAGATCTACTATTTGGACTTGAAGTAAATAAATGTATTAATTAATAATAACATTACTTTCTTTGTTTTTCAAAACATTTTATCAGCTTTCTTTTGCTAAATAATCTACGGTTCCTCAAAAACATAACCAATACAGTTTACCATTTAATAAAATATACTTTCAACAGTAAAATTATGAAAGACATAGGCATTACTCAATTCGTACATTTTGATACACTGGACACTGTGAGTGTTTAACGAATGTTCGGTAATTTAGTTGAATATTCGGCCGAATACGAATATTCGGTAAAGCTGCAGAATATACCGTGTACCGAATATGAAACTAATATTCGGCCCATCTCTAGTCGATAGTACAAACGGGCGTGCCTCAGGGCTCAATTCTCGGCCCCTTTCTGTTTCTTGTATATATTAATTACTTACCTTACATTGTAGGGGATGATATAGTATTATTTGCTGGTGATACTTCATTAATTTATAAATTAAAAATATTATTACTAAAATATGACGAAGTAAATATTGCTATATCTAAGTTAGTAAATTGGTTTAATGTTAATAACAATTTGCATTTAAATAGCACTAAACTAAATGTATATAACTCAAAATGTCAACATCTAAATACCAATGTAATTTCAAATTGGGAGAAGCTGTCTTTTCTATACTACCATTTTTCTTGGAAGGTGCTTAAACACTCAAAAATAATTGATATACCTACATTCTGTAAATACTAGGACCAGACACAAGCTAGTAGTACTGGTTACTCAACTTGGTAATTCTTACTTGAGGTGATGTATAAGCTTTTACAACAAAATCTCAAAGTTCAATAACTTTATTAAACTAAGTTTGAATAAAAAGGGTTATTATAATATTAAGAAATTTAAGGATGACTGGGAGTAACTGGATGACAGGGATTATCCCTGGGAGTGAGGTGGTCGCTACCAAGCTATTTTTTTGTGTTGTTGATTGCGTAACATACATGATTGTAAGCTGTTATTTAAAAAAAAAGTCCCTGCTGGGTTTCTTGCTAGTTCTTCCTGATGATTACTAGGTTTCTGTATCCTACCGCTTCCACTACCCTTGGTAAGGTAAGGCTTAGATGCAGTAAGAATGAAGGCATAATGGCAATCACAATGCATGCAGACCCAAAACTACCACAAATAACTTATAAATTTTACTTATTTGGCTATAAATGATTTTCAGGCATTAGGTATCCACCAACTACAATTATTATAAAAGTTTTGTTATATTATTTAAACAATTTCTGCAAACTAACATATATCACGTTTTATTTCAGCAAAAAATTGTTCGATCCAGCTCCTGAAGAGCGAGATTATGTTCCACTCCCTGAATTGGCCAATGTCCGACCTGGCGGTTTCGACTGGCGGCGACGCAATCCCGACGACGATAATGATGCTAATGGATAATCTACATTCAGGGTGTTTTATTAATGATGAGCAGAATTATAATCCCTAAATGGTGTACCAGAGCTTTAAGGGTTGCCAAATGCACATTTTCAAATTATTATTTTTACAAGTGTCAATATTATATAGCTCACAAGACATTTTATTATTATGAATAAAGTTTATTATTGATAAAACCACCTTCCCGATTTTGTTAATGGCAACTTTTCATCAAATGACTATGGGAAGTTATCAAATGTAAATAGAAATCGACCTCATTAATCACCTCATAATTGCTTATGCTGTTATTCTTAACTCACTTGAACCGCATCAACGTTTGTGTTTTGTTCTATAAGATAACACAGGTAAATATTTCTAGATACACTGCTATAATTTGAAAACGCGACTGTGTTGTCGTATCTACTCTTAATCCTAAACTACTTTTTGATAGTAAATTTTTTATAATTTATAGTTAATTCAAATTCAGTTTCCAATCTACTAGAGTAAGTAACTTTAATTTGTTTTTTAGTTTTCTGATGCGTCCTAGTGAAAAACACTGCAAATCATAAAATAAGTTACTAACCACATCATGTATATTACATAAATCTTAACTTTACTCCAGTCAAAATAGACATTCAAGTTTACAATAATTCGCATAGAGCTGAAAATTGTTATGAATGTTGGGAACACCATTATTAATGAAATGTAAAAAATCCCTACAGATCCCACATCTGTAAAAAATAATTCAAGGTCAAAGTCACAAAAATAATCTTCTGGCACTTTTCATCTAAGCGGTAAGTTTTATCACAAAAATTGTAGATCATGAAAACTTATCTGTAAAAATTGTTCTCACACTTTTTCCCCAAGAATCACCATTTCTGAGATTTATCGATTCCAATTCGAATTCCATTCGAAAACTTCCAAAAGTGTTCAATAATACGCATGTCAATTGCCTTTATAACATCACTGAGCCGTAATACAAGTAAAAATAAATATTGGCTTAACAGCAATCAGTATATTCATATATTTAATATATTCACTTAAAAGTTAAGTTTATTTGCTTTTTCAAAATGCCAATATCACATACTATTTTTTTTATATATATAAGACATCAGAACTTTTCAGGGGGATAAAACAACAGATTTGAAATTGTTTGAGAAACAAGATTTAGTTAATTGTAATTAAATTTTTATAGATAGTAACTCTACTCCACAATCTGTAATCACAGACAGAAGTCGCTTCCTTCTTTCTGTTGTGATACCGAGCTCCAAAAAAATTACCAGCTTAGACTGTTTAAAGTGAAGTTAACAAACGAGTGCAATTATCTTGTCTTCACCCAGCCTCTGCTTCTGGAAGTGTAACTAGAACTGAAAGTTTTCACATTTAATTTGTAATGGTGCTCCCAATATTCGTACCAATTTTAGCTCTATTCGAATTATAGTAACTATTCACCCATTTTTTGAGCTAGCTTGACCAGACTTGATTTTATTTTTTCGTATACTAGGTCACTAAATCACCAACAGTTAAAATGTTATTTATTTTACACAATTTTATATTATATATAGGGGTTTTATTTTAAATTGTAATTTTGATTTGTTAATTATAATAAAATAAGCTTTGATAGTAATATGACTATGTATTATAATCTATTATTTTAAGCACGACGGTACTATACTAGGACAAAACTAAAGGTATCATTGAATTTTAAACTTACAATCTGTTCAGTTGTAACTTTAGCTGTTACATACATTGGCGTAGCATATGTGCGGGATTTAGGGGTTTCAAATATTAAATACATTTATTTACCTTTAATAGCTATCTATAAAGCTCATGCAAATACTGTTAAACGCAATTTTTTTCCATTTTGTCAAACATAATCCTTTATTTTGAGGTATTAGCAATTTATTTTTACGGACAAAATATAAATCGTTACGGCGCAGTATAACACCTGTAGGATTTGTAACCATGTAACAAAAACGCGCACTTTATTGACTCATAGTAAAGTAATTAAATAGTAATAAATTAAAGCGTAAAAAGGTGTGATTTCGTTGTGACCAGCAATTTAATTAGTATGAACGTTGACTATCAGATTTTTATGTTCTTTAAATTATATAATAGTTATTAAAGTTAATATTGTAATATGAAGGAGAAATAAAAACGTTTGATAGATTTGTATAATTTTGCTTTTTGGGCGAAAAACATTTTTATTTCGTTTAAGAAATCGGTGAAACTAAAATAAAAAATTGACCTCTGGAAGTCCTCCATAAGCATAAGCAAGAAAATTCTCAGTAATTTTGTTTATATGCTGTTTTAAGGCAATTTGAAACTATCGTAGAGTATTTACGTGTATTTATGCGATCTAAAATTAAGAGATATTTCACGAAAAGCAGTATTCGTCAACACATGCCGACCTCAAGAATGGTAAAGTACAAAATTCTACGGCATGTCAGTGACAAAGAACAAACGTATCAAAACATATTTGGCAGTTTGGAAGAATTTGCGATTAACTATGAACACACAACTAGATCTGTTAGCGACGAAGAAGATTGTGACGTGAAAGCTTATGAGAAACTAGAAGGCGCTGAGACCAGACAAATGATCATCAGACTTCTAAATGGAAACATCATCAAAAAGCGAAGAAAGCCTGCGATTACGGGGACACGTTATTACACGCCAATAGAAGACAAAGAAGGCTATTTTATAGCTATCTTGTTACCCATATGCCGTTTAGAGATGAAAACGACGAACTAGCGGGCTATGAAACATACGAAGAAACTTTTATGGCACGAGTTCGGTTACGTCCATTTCACGGAGATTCTGTTCAACAATTTCAATATATTGAATGCGAACTTCAGCAAGTTATTTGCCAAGTGCTAGCATTAGCCGAACCTGCAGCATTTGATGAGCCCAATGATCAAGAAGTGAAAACAGAAAACCAAGATGTTTACATCGAAGTAGAAGTTGGAGAAAAATTGCATGTCAATATTACAGCCGAAGAATTTCATGCCATGGTCAGCCAGATCAATGAATATAGAATAAAACATATATTTGACGAAGTGACAAAACGAATTCGATATGAGGTGACTAATCAACATAATACAAACGCTCCATTATCCGTGACAGGAACTGGTAGCGGAATTTTTTTCTTTTAAAAACAATAGTACATTACATTCGTCGATGTTATGCTCCAACAAAAGAGTAGTTGTTAAATGCAACTTGTGTTGCATTTAACCACTGCTCTTCATCATTTCCCATCCATTCATATCCGTTTACGAGATTTAAAAAAATTGTCAAGACATTTTTCGTGGGGTCATAGTTAGCCTTCGTAGATAATATGCAGTTGTCGTCCGTTAAAGTCAGTTTGTGCCTCAGACAACTCTTTATATTGCAAGGAGAGCCGCATTTGTCACATTATTTTGGACTTTTCGAGTTAAAAACCAACGCCCGACAACAGAACGATAGCCAATTTATAGATTCTTATTAACCTTCGAGTGGGTAAGTTGAGTATGGAACAGTATGAGCTTTTTCTTAAAAGAAGTCGTGTGCCTTTGGCTGATGATTTTGCCATACGGTAAAGCTGTACATATTTTTTCAACAGAAAAACTAATTAATGACTATAACGATAAAATAGTAGAATTAATAGTCAAAACATTAAAAATTTATAGATGAAATGCTCTCGATGAATCTAAAGAACCTGCCACTTACGGCCAAAAACCCAATCAAGCTGCTGTTACGCAAGAACCAAACTACACGGATGGGTTGTTGCTAAGAGAGTCACGTTGCGAATGAATTTGAAGGTTTCTGAAAGGTCGGTCAATGGTAGCATGGGCATAAAATACTCAAATGGAGTGGACTTCGCAGAGATCAATTGGAAAAAGTTTTAAAGACGATAACGGATGGATTCCAATACAACCGCAAAGTTTGACATTTCAACATTTTAGGGTATATGAACATCAAAAGAATTTCTTATATTCTAAGTTGGGCTATTACGGTCCGTAAGTCGCAAGGAACCACTGTAGAAAAAACTGTCCATTATTTAGACAAAATTATTTTTGGCAAGGCAAGGCGATGTCTTTTGTGATTTCTTCTACAAACGGCTGCGCAGATTTTCTTGAAACGTAGCTAAGAACACCTTCGAAGGTGTCTTAACCTTCCTTCTTTCCACCTTCCTTTTTTGTCGTATCTCCTCAGTTTCAAGGCACCCCTCTTGTTGCCTCAGCCAGTATCGGAATCCTCGGCGTCGACATATCGAGTGACGTGCAGTTTTGTGGTCACTTGGAAGAGAAGGCCAAATTGGCCTCAAAAAAGCTTGGCGTGCTCAGCAGAGCGGGACAGTATATCATGCCGGCACACCGCCTGCAACTTTACAAGGCGCAGGTTCGGCCGCACATGGAATACTGTTCCCATCTCTGGGCTGGGGCTCCCCAGTACCAGCTCCTTCCACTTGACCGCATCCAGCGCAGAGCGGCTCGAATCGTCAACGACCGAGTGCTTTCCGATCGGCTTGATTCACTGGCGCTGCGAAGAGATGTTGCATCTCTTTGCATTTTATTTCGCATATACCATGGGGAGTGCTCTGAGGAATTGTTCGGATTAATCCCAGCCGCCAAATTCCACCAGTACACCACTGTACGTTTCAAAAGGAGTTTTCTTCCGCGTACGACCTCTCTGTGGAATAGTTTATCACCGGCGATTTTTCCGGACCGATACGACCTGGGGACCTTCAAGAAAAGAGCTTACTCCTTTCTAAAGGGCCGGCAACGTACCTGGAATTCCCCTGGTGTTGCGGTTGATCATGGGCGGCGGTAATCATTTAACATCAGGTGAGCCGCATGCTTGTTTGCCCCCTCTTCTATAAAAAATTAAAAAAACCTTCCATACGAAAAAAACTTAATCAAAATCGGTTCATCATTTCAGGAACTACGATGCCATAGACACACGTTGACAATTAAAAATTAGGAAAAAAAATAAATAAACAGCATGGAGTAAGTACGTTTTAATCGAAGCACGCTTCAAGATCTTGTACTTATACACACACCAACCGCAAAGACTCATAATAACCAATGTCTCCGCCATCCATCCATCATTGCTTCAGACAGCACAAGGAATCTGTAACGGAAAACACCTGGCCGTCAAGCTCTAGCACGTCAAGCAAGTATTACAAGAAAACAAGCTTTAGGTCACGCGCCTACGTCACAGTAACATGATGACTACGATATATAAACCTAAGCGAATATAAAACCTTTAGATTTATTTCACCATCGAAGGACTTTATTGCACAAAATAGCAAAACTATTACGTATTAAAATCCACTTCAAACCATTAATTACGAGGGCGGCACTGAAAATTTCGGGAATCAAGGAAGTGACACAATATTACTATTTAATATATATGTTTAATATATATATATATATATATATATATATATATATATATATATATATATATATATATATATATGCCGAATATATTTATTGCTTTTCCAAGTATTCTCCGCGAAATTTGACACATTTTTCCATACGATGGAACCAATCATTGAAGCAACTATTCCATTCGGAAGTTGGGGTCTCCAAAATGGCCGTTTTGTAGGCGTCCACGGCTTCTTCAGGTGATGAAAATCTCTGTCCACGCAATTTATTCTTTATTTTAGGGAAAGTATAGAAATCATTAGGGCTTAGGTCAGGGCTGTTCTGTTGAACGGGTTCCCGCCTTGTCGTGGCGGGGGGCTTAGTAGCCGTGGCTTGGTCTCCCACGGTGAACAAAGAGGAACCCACGTGGCTGGCCCGAGGTGAAGGGCCGGCCTGAGGTGGCCGCTCCGAGTGGGCTTGGGGAGCCCACTTTGGATGTGTGCTGGTGGACTGCAGCGAGTGGGGACTCGCGCACCCTCTACCGCTGCAGCCGAGGTGGAGTCGCGGAGGAAGAGGAGTGTTGGTATGGCGATGCGCCACTCGCCCTATCCTTCGCGACTCAAGCGGGGCCGCACCGTTGATGCGGTGGTGGTGGGGCTGCGGGGGGAGAGGATTGTCGGTATTGCGAGGCGCCGCTCTCCCTATCCTCCGCAGCCGAATCTTGGTTGGTGGCGGAGCCATAGACCAGATCCGCCGCTGGGGTCGGGAAGGCTAGTACTTCTAAGTGCTCGTTTTTCCTGGCCCCATGGCCTTTGTGCATCGGACGCGGGGGCGTCTGTTGCACAGACGTAGTTGGAGGCCGTGGAGGAAGGCGCGCCATGTGTTCTGGTGCGCCTTACCTGGGAAGGAGAACGGGGAGGAATTTTCCTCTCCCGAGGAGGTGCTGCCATGGGGCGGCAGGCGCTAGTAGGGCCGCGGATGTGTGCGAAAGCGTTCCCGTAGCCCTGCCAATATGCGACAAAGGTGGAACACCATGGGGTTTTAGTCGGTGCGAGTCCGACATAACCCGTCCTTGCCCCCGTGAGGCGGGTATGCGTAGGCATTTCCCCATGCAAAAAAAAAAAAAAAAAAAAAAAAAAAAGGGCTTAGGTCGGGGCTGTACGGCGGATGGTCTAATAATTCTATGTTTTCTAGCTCTAAAAACTTTTGTTCTGTGTGCGGTGTGAGAACTCGCGTTGTCGTGATGGAGGATGATGCGGCGGTTGCAGTTCTCTTTACGGAGTTCAGAAACGACCTGTGGCAAACAAATGCTAGCATACCATTCTGCATTAACCGTTCTTTGTCCCTCAAGAAGAATAGTCGTAACATGGCCGGTTTTGGAGACAAACGTGGCCACCATTTTTTTTGCAACACTCCGTGAACGAACAATTTTTGTTGGCTTTAACTCATTTTCGAACACCCAAACTCGTGACTGGTTTTTTGTTTCGGGTTCATACGCATATATCCAGGATTCGTCACCTGATACAATGTTGTATACAGCATTTAAGGATCCTGCGTGGAATCTTTCGAGAGTTCTGACGCACCAAGTAACGCGAGGCGCTTTTTGCTCTTCACAGAGCGAACGCGGTATCTATCGGGAAAACAACTTTTTAACACCTAATTGTTCATGCAAGATTATTTGTATTTGACTCATGCCAATGTCTAAAGTTGCCTAAATTTCGCGGTATGTCACATGTCAATCTTCCTCAATCAGCTTACGCACAAAATCAACGTTTTCTTGGGTGACTGCAGTTTTTGGACGACCTTGACGGGGATCATCACTGAGCTTGACACGTCCACGTTGAAATTCAGCAAACCAGCGATAAATTGTGTTTTTGGATGGGGCTTGAAATCATCCGGTCAACACACTGTTTTTGTGTTAAACCACTTCGAAAGTCATAATAAATCATTGCTCTTGAATTTTCTCGAGTCAATTCCATTTTCTCAGTCAATTCCATCTTCTCAACGACTAAACAAGTTTGACAAAACCTTGTGACAAGACTGAGAATCTTTTTTTAAATAAATAAATGGTATTCGATTTTTAAAACCAAGGAATTTTCAATTAAAAAGATTTTAATATGACAGGAACAGTGGAAATATTCCATTACCGATAATTTTAGTGCAGCCTATGTATAGGATTTCGGATGGTTGACACAACCATCTGAAGGCGGTCAAGTTCCCGCCAAAACTCCCAAAAACACTAAGCATTTTATGTTATGGACCAAGTGATTACTTAATCAGGGCACTATTTATAATGCCCGACCAATAGGAATAATGACAAGTCAAATCGGTCAATGTAATTAATACCTATTTAAACTTCACTATTTATCACATTGTCTGGTACCTAACCTATACCAGCCCTGCTGGGGTAAGGATGGATTATGTCGGTCGGGTCACCGACTAAAATCTCACGGTGTTCCTCCTTCGCCGCATATTAGCAGGGCTACCGGAACGCCTTTGCACACATCCGCGGACCCAACAGCACCGATCAGCCCATCCTCGGGGAAGAAAGGAAGAACTTCTTCTTCCCCTTTTCCTTCTCAGGTACCATGAACACAAAGCGCGCCTACCTCAGCGGCCTCAACTCCACTTGCGCAAAGGACCCGCCAGAGACCGATACGCAGATACCATAGGGCCAGGAAAAAATCAAGCATTCGGAAGCACCAGCTTTCCCGGCCCCAGCGGCGGATATGGTCTGTGCCTTCGCAATTTATTCTGCCGCGGAGGGTACGGAGAGCGGCGCTTCACAATATCGACACTCCTCGCCCCCCTGCCAATCACGGAGGACTGGGCGAGTGGCGCATAGCCATACCAACCCTCTCTTCTCGCGCGAATGCATCTCGGCTGCTGCGGTACGGGGGGAGGACAACACTTGCCGCAGCCCGCCAACGCACATCCGAACGGGGTTTGTCAAGCCCACTCGGAGTACCTCTGACAGGCCCTTAATTTCAGCCCATCCCTGTGGGTTCCTCTTCGTTCACCATGGGTGACCAAGCCCCTCTAAAAATCATTATTTCCTTTTCTCTCTTACGAGAGCTAAGACACTGCAACTATGGCAAATACCCTTATAAGACAATCTACGATGGAGGCCTATGTTCAGCAGTAGATTTTTGATAGGCTGTTATGACTTCAAATATATTAATGATTTTAACCCTCGTACTGCTATGAGGGTTAAAATCATTAATATGCGACGAGGTAATTCTACATTTAATAAGAAAACTATAAAAGTAGGTATTTGAGTTTTTTTATTTTAATTTTACCTATTTCTCCTAATATATAAATAGGGGATCCAAACTTTATTTCCCTTTAAATTTCAACTGGAGTATCTTAATAAACGACGTAAACATTTTCATCATCATCATCATCATTACAGCCCTTCACAAGTCCACTGCTGAACATAGGCCTCCCCTAAGTAACGCCACAAAGCATGGTCCTAAGCCACCTGCATCCATCGACTTCCTGCATGTCTTACCAGGTCGTCACTCCATCTAGTAGGGGTCGCCCTACACTAGCCTACCGGTACGAGGCCGCCACTCCAGAACCTTTCTTCCCCATCGGTTATCGGTTCTTCGAGCTATATGGCCGGCCCATTACCACTTCAGCTTACTAATCCGTTGGGCTATGTCGGTCGCTCTGGTTTTGCTGCGGATATCCTCATTTCTGAGTCTATCACGCAGAGAAACTCCGAGCATAACCCTCTCCATAGCTCGCTGAGCGACCTTGAGCGTCCTCATACGGCCAGCAGTGAAGGACCACGTCTCTGATCCGTAAGTCATCACCGGCAACACGCACTGGTTGTACACTTTAGTTTTCAGAGATTGAGGTACCTGACGAGAAGATGTGTCGTAATTTCCCGAACCGGCTTGTTCGGGAGGCTGGAAGTCGTCGAGTCTGCGTGCGAGACGATTCGTAATGACTCTCGAAAACAGCACGTAGACGCGGCTCAGAAGGAAAATCGGTCTGTAGTTCTTCAAGAGAGTGTTGTCGCCTTTCTTAAAGAACAAGACCACCGCACTTCTGCTCCACGCCTCCGGAGTAGTGCCACCATGGAGGACGGAATCGTAGAGCTTCTGTAGGACTTCAAGTACCGGTGATCCACCCGCTTTCAGAAGCTCCGCTGTAATTCCATCCTCGCCTGGGGCCCTGCCGTTTTTAAGGTGCTGGGGAGCCATTCTAAACTCGCTCAGACTGACGTCCGGGATATCATCGGAATAGTGTCTGGTAAGACTTGCCCTTGGATCGTTACTCACACTTGCGTGTGGCTCCAACGATGATGTGTACAGCTGCCCATAGAACCTCTCAATCTCACTCAAAATCTCAGGTGTCTCGGAAACGATGCTGCCACACTCAGTCTTCAGCTTTGACAGTTGGCTCTTTCTGGCAGACAGATTTCTGGCAAAGACTTTGGAGCCCTGGTTCCGGTCGATCGCTTCTTTAATACGAGCAGTATTAAAGTTGCGTAAGTCTCGCCGCATGCATTTGGAGATCTGTCTGTTCAGTTGCCTGTATGCTGTCAAATCTGTTGACGATTGCTGCCTCATCTCCCGTCTAACAGCCATGAGATTAAGAGTGTGATCGGAGCGTTTTTGTGTTCTGCGGCGGGTCTTGCAGAACTTAGCTTCGACCGCGTGGACAGTTTCCACGAGCTTGTCATTCATATCGTCCACTGCATTGCAATCTTCTAGGCACTGAAAGCGGTTACGTAGCTCGAGCTGAAAGTTTTCGGGATTCTGGATTAGAGCACGAGGGGGACGGAGCGTTGACTTCATTAGACGAGACCTCTCCAACTTAACGTTTAGGTTCAGTGTGCCTCTAACCATTCGGTGATCGCTGCCAGTTTTCATCCTTACGATCACTGAGACATCACTGAACTGAACATTTTTTGTCGAACCGTCGGGGCACGACCAGGTCCACTTCCTGTGGGGCCGCTTCTGGAAGAAAGAGTTCATCATAAAGAGTCCCTCTTTCTCCATAAATTCGGCCAGCTGCTGGCCCCTTCGGTTCCGTTGCCCTTCTCCAAATTTCCCTAACTTCAGCTCACCGTTTTCTCTTGTGCCTAGTTTTGCGTTGAAGTCTCCCATCAACACCGTGTAGTGGGTTTTGGAGGAATGCATGGATTTGGAAATATCCTCATACATTTCCTCCACCTCCTCATCGGGATGTGCCGAGGTTGGTGCGTAGACCTGTATGACCTTCAGCGAATACCGTTTGGTGATTCTGAGTATCAGGTACGCGACCCTCGTCGACACAATCCCAATCTTTACAACGTTGTTGACGAGAGACTTGTGGACGATAAATCCGACACCTCCTGGGACAGATGGTCGCCCTCCCGGTGATAGAACAAGTTGCCGGACTCGAGGATTACCGTGTCCTCCCCCTCTCTTCGGACCTCAGATAATCCAATAATATGCCAGCGCAACTTGTCTACCTCTTCTTCCAGCTCCAGTACCTTCTCGTCAGTCCTCAGGGTGCGTGCGTTATACGTTGCCAGGTCGAGTCGTCGTAGGTGGCAACCGAACCTCCACCGGAGATTCTTAGCACCCCCTGCCCCGCCGTTACCATGGTCGCCACGTTGCCAGGAATAGCGGGGCCGCCGGGGACTGGGGGCCGTTTATTTGCGTCGTTGCTCATGGGGGGATATTTGCCATAGTTGCCACGCTTGGCGAGCGGGTTGGCAACCGCAGTTTTTTATTATGTTATTGTTGTTATTAGGAAGATGCTGCTGCCCATCTCCTTTCTGTATCCCTCTGTCGCCTCTTACGACACCCACGGGAAGATATGGGGTAGTGGATATTCTCAACCGCCACTACACGGCACGGCTAAAAATTTTCATTTCAATTTAATGATTGATGTTTATGTTAATGAAGAAAACTATCTTCTTCAAGTGTCGCGAAATATAATAAATTTATATGATGATATCCAAAAAATTAAAATATAGAGGCATTATTTACATTCTTTAATGTCTAGTTTCTTAAAATACATAGGCATACCACATTACACCCATTTAACTTTTGAAAAGTTTCAAAAGAAATATCTCTTAGTCATTACTTATGACCAAAATTATACTGAGCACTGTAATATTTTATTAGGCCTTTATGATAGACTTTAATATTTTCTTACAATAAATACACTGGAGAAGCTGTATACACATACTCAAACATGCAACATGCACCTGCCAATTTATTTTTATTTGTGCTTGGTGTGAATTACATAACATTATAAAATTTTATAGTAACTAATATAAACAAACACTGAATTGCTTAAACAAATTAATAAAATATACATAAAAAATTAAATTTGAATTGTTATAAAATCTTTAAAAAACTTTTTTAAATAGGTAATGCAAAATCTATAATATATATTATATATATAACAGAACATACAGCACTTAGGTTTCTGATTTCTATTTTAACAATTTAGTATTCTTATTAATTAAATAAATAAACCCTATGCTTAGACACATGTTGGTTCATACTTTTTAAATTAAATAATTCGTTTTGATAATCACTGCCTTATGCTGCTGTAAGATTTGATTTTATGCATGACACTTAAAAAATACAATTACATAAAAGCTGTGAGGCCTAGTTAACAAATGCATCCCTAATCAACAGAAAATTCTTTTGTATAAAATTGATTGCAGGTGTCCATAGACTATAGCCGATTACCACTGGATGTGTGCTTGTTTGTCACTAATGCTATAAGACTAAAATAATCACAGCAATAAAAACGTAACGGATTTTCCTTTTGTGACTTCTTAGTATCTTTTAAACACTTCTTCATGTTTAAGTAACAGAATCCTATGTTAACACAGAGGAGATTAAAGTACAATCCCATTATATACATAGATTTAGTAACCTATGACCAAGAGAACCATGATTTTGCCTCTGCTGAAGGTGTTCCTGAACCACTTTTTGGGGATTTGGGTGTATGAGGTTGAGATGATGAAGCCTTATTTTCCGTTGATTCCTCCACTTTTACCTCGTCATTTTCTGCAGATGGCTTAACCTAAAAATATTTTTTGTATATAAATTTTAAAACATATACAAATGGGTGTACAGAAAAACATTTATTTTAAATACCTTCATATTAGTTTGAGCCTGCATTTCCTTTTCATAGTTCCTAACATCTTCAATAGTCATATTATACCACTCATCCATCCAAGTAAAGGCCTGGCGATGTCCAAGCAGGAGGATATCCCTGATAGCCTACATAGTCATAGATGTAATAAATACATTTTTAGGATGTAAAATATGTTTAATAATTTAAACTTGTGTGATGTCAATTTAAAGCATCAATTTAAAATTATATAATTCAGTTCCCACTTATATCAATAAAAGGAATGATAATAAAAATCTGACAACATTTATGAATATTAAAGATTGATGTATGTTAAGCCAACATGCTAAGTCTTAAATTGCTTGTTATAAACAATGAATCCATCAGCATTGGCACACAATTTTATTTTATTATATATATCTTATTGACAGGTCTATTACTAACTTACCCCTTGTACATAATCTTCTACTCTAGTTTGTAGACCCCAAACCTCAAATTTCACATTAACACATTTATAACAACACATTATTGGTTTATGAGTGTCCCTCCAACCCTCACATAATGGACCACGCCCTGACTTCTCAGATTTATAAAACTTGGGGTCCTCTGCTTCTTTGTAATGATGGGGCTTTATTTCATCATATGCTATATCAATAAAGTCTACTTCCCTCAGTTCTAATTCTTCTGAGGTCAATCCCAAGCACTAAAATTTATTTAAATAATTATGGTTATTAAGATGAGTCTTTCATGTTTATGTAGTTTCTATGCTATAAATAATATCAAAAATTACAAGATTTGTATTATTTACTTTTAAGTGAGGTTTTTTTGAGAATCAAGAGTAATAGCTTACATTTTCTGTAGTTCCATTATTATCCTCATATCGTGTTTGAATTGAAATAGAAAATTTTGGAATAAAGGAGCACTGTAAAAATAAATGATTATAAAATAATGCTTCTATGAAAGATTTTATTGAAAATTTTAATTAAAGTACAAATTAAAAACATACCGTATACTCTGTTTTGTGGTTTCATTTCCGATGAAAGAAAAAAATAAGATTAATCAATAATTCAAAAATAAATATTTTGCAGTAATATAATAATAATTGTAATAATCACCAGTTATTGTATATGGATAAAAGTTCCATGCCTTTTCAGTGACGTAAAATATTTTAGGAATAAGAGACTGGACCCAATATGGAAGATGACTAAAAAATGAAAATATCCAACCAATTATTACACAATTTAAAATCCACTGTGACAACATTACCCACTTCTGTGGGTAATATTATCACTCAAGCTCTCTTTTCATTATGGGATATAATATATATTATATCCCACATTCCGTTGCCCCACACATTCTGTTGAGATGTATCTTACCAGTGTGCATTTATCATTGGATCATACTGCACGCATCTTTTACAAACAAAGTTGTCTTTCAAACAAAATTAATATTGTTTTGCTAGGTAGCCTCAACAGTTTATCAGTAAAAACTGGGAGCATCGATGGGAGTTGTCCATATACAGGGATATTTCCTTACATTTTCGATAGTGTTCTATCCATATTATTTAGAGTGAAATACAGATAAAAACAAATGAGTATGTGCACTACACAGAAGTTCACTCAGGTAATGACAGACATGAAGTTGAGGACATAGTGCAGTGGCACGGAATGTTGTGCAAAGGTACAGGAGGCAAAATATAATATGAAAATATTATTTATTAATTATTAGAAAAATTATTTAGTTTGAGAAGTAATATATATTACATATCAGTGTAAATGGTTCAATTAAAAGTATGGTGAGCGATATTAATTTATATCTCAAGATGTAATATAAATTACATTATATCCCATAGTAAAAAGATAGCTTCATACTTAGAATTTTACCTGGACAAATGTATCCTCTTCTCAGTAAACTGTCCTAAGCCATTCACTTCATCATTCACTTCCTCGTTAACAATTACCTCTACGCCCTCACCGTTACTCGATTGTTCAAAGCTATGACGAGCTATCATGTAAAGTTGACCGATACGGTACTGCAATCAAAATCAAAACATTTTTTATAGGCCGTGGAATAAACATAAACTACAGTGATTAATTCGCTTAAAAAATTGCCTAAAATAAACCCACATCGCAGATATTACCTCCTCAACAGTCATGGGCATACAAATTCTGAACTCTTTTGTTAAGACCATTTTAAAGACTAGTTATATCCTGTGGTTATTAATAACAATAATTTCTTTCCTTAAATACCAAATAAAATTTTTACTATTATTTAGATTAAATGACAACTGACAAAGTGACAAAGTAGACAAGCAGCGTGACCACTGTTTAATGAGGGAATCTACCAAAGACTGCTAAAAGCTACTGAAAGCTACTAGGTCGCATTTCAAAATCTAGCTAATCTAGAGTCGTTTTGGGTAGATACACACACATTTGTTAATGAAGCCTACATTTAATCAATCATTTAAGATTAACATTTTTGTATTAATTGTCATCGAATTTTTTAATATTTTTTTACATTGTTACTACATCTCTAACATTAAAGTACCAGTACCAAATTCAAATTTCGTACAATTTTCCGATTCCTTTAACCCTTCCTTAGCGTGTGCCTTTGCTCGACGTTTTGATTAGTACTAAATCTGTTACGATCTTCTGTTTTTATTTTGCTGTGTCTTAAATATAAACAAAATCGTAATTTTGCCAACAGTACGTATAATAAAGTCGGTAAAGAAAATTTATCTTCAGAAATAGCTAATATTAACTGGGACTCAATCTATAGTACAAACTCCGCCAATATTTCAATGGAATACTTTGTCACATCTATTCAACATGCCATAATTCTTAACTCTGTCACTGTAAAACCAACTATCTAGGAGAAGCAGAATTATTAAACCGTGGATGGCTTACTGCTATGTCTGAAATATCGGGATAATCTCCATAAAAAAGTTAGACGATCTCCTGACAACGAAACTATCAAGCTAACATACACTAGATACAGAAACTATTGTAATAAGATAATTTAAAAAACTTAAAATTGCGTAAGAAACTAACCTTATAAGGGCAGCAGGTAACGACAATAAAAAACTTTGGGACGCAATAAAAAATATCACAAACATCCAAAATAAAAAAATACGGCCTCGGAATAAATAAACAGGTCTATTCCAAAAAAATGTGTGGAAGACGTTAATGAGTTCTTCGTGTCGGTTGGCAAGACTTTGGCTAAGAAGATTTTAGTTTGTAGGAATCCACCACATATTAACGTATTTTCAATGCAGTCTCACAGGTCTTTAAAGTCTTTTGTTTTGCTGGACACTGATGAAGCTGAAATGGAGCGCTTAATTTTGGACCTTAAAAGTGTCTGTTCAGTAGGTTGGGATAATATCCCTAACTACCTCTTACAGGAGAACAGGCACGTTTTAGTTCCAGTGCTAACTTACATTTTTAACCTTTGCATGAAGGCACTTTTCCTACGGTCTTAAAGAAATCAGTGAATAAAACTGGAGATAAAAATCAGGTAACAAACTACAGGCCGATCTCTATCCTTCCTTCTGTCTCCAAGCTCCTGGAACGCATTATCAATAAGAGAGTTATAAAATACTTCGAAGCAAATAACTTACTTTCAATCAATCAATTTGGTTTTAGAATTGGCAAATCAACTTGTGATGCGGTCCATGAGCTTGTGGATCATGTGGTAAAGAATATTGACGATGGTAAAAAAATAATAGGCCTATTTGTTGACCTAACAAAGGCCTTTGACACAATTTCGATAGGCTGGGGATTCGAGGAAATAAGTTAAAACTAATTCAAGATTAGCTTTCAAATCGTTGTCAAGGCACTAAGATAGATGAATTTATTAGTGATGACCTACCTATTACTTATGGTGTGCCGCAAGGCAGTATATTAGGGCCAACACTCTTTCTAACCTATTTAAACTACCTTTGTGATCTTCATCTAGAAGGTGGTAAAGTTATCTTTTATGCGGATGACACTGCGCTCTTGTTCTCAGCCAACAAGTGGGTGGATGTTTATAGACTGGCGCAGGAGGGCTTTAATACTGTGTGTCACTGGTTAAAGTTCAATTTCATGACTTTAAACGCAGAAAAAACTGTCTACATACTTTTCTCTTTGCGAAACACCACCTCAACAACTCCTTCGCATTCTCTGATTGCGCATGATTGCTGCAATATTGACTTATGCCATTGCCCTTCACTGATCACTACCAATATGGTTAAATATCTTGGTATCCTTATATATAACAATCTTTCATTCTAACCTCATGTTAATTAAATTACTACAACGCTGGGAAATCTGATATACGTATTTAAAAATTTAAGGAATGTGGCAGATCCTAAACTGGTTAAACAGATCTATCTAGCTCTTGTACAATCTATAGTGGGTTACGGCCTTACTGTGTAGGGAGGTGCACCAAAAACCACTATTAAACCTCTTGTAATAGCTCAAAGAGCTATTCTTAAAGTAAGCACTTTTCGCCCCTATTTGTTTCCTACCTACCTTTTGTATCAATCTTGTGAAGTCCTCTCATTTCGCCAACTGTTCATCCTGCTCACTATTATGAAACAACACTCAAGCTCTGCCATTGCACATACATTTGCCATTTCCAAGTGCCGCAGAGATATAACTTTCCCCAATAGACCAACATTTAAACACTAATTCGCACACAAATATTTTCCCTTTTTGGGTCCGTATCTACGGCACTGAAAATTTCGGGAATCAAGGAAGTGACACAACATTACTATTTAAAAATGTATTTATTGTTTTTCGAAGTATTCTCCGCGAAATTTGACACATTTTTCCATACGATGGAACCAATCATTGAAGCAACCATTCCATTCGGAAGTTGGGGTCTCCAAAATGGCCGTTTCGTAGGCGACCACAGCTTCTTCAGGTGATGAAAATCTCTGTCCACGCAATTTATTCTTTATTTTAGGGAAGTATAGAAATCATTAGGGCTTAGGTCGGGGCTGTATGGCAGATAGTCTAATAATTCTATGTTTTCTTGCTCTAAAAACTCTTTTGTTCTGTGTGCGGTGTGAGAACTCGCATTGTCGTGATGGAGGATGATGCGGCGGTTGCAGTTCTCTTTACGGAGTTCAGAAACGACCTGTGGCAAACAAATGCAAGCATACCATTCTGCATTAACCGTTCTTTGTCCCTCAAGAGGAATAGTCGTAACTTGGCCGGTTTTGGAGACAAACGTGGCCACCATTTTTTTTGCAACACTCCGTGAACGAACAATTTTTGTTGGCTTTAACTCTTTTTCGAACACCCAAACTCGTGACTGGTTTTTTGTTTCGGGTTCGTACGCGTATATCCAGGATTCGTCACCTGATACGATGTTGTATACAGCATTTGAGGATCCTGCGTGGAATCTTTCGAGAGTTCTCGCGAGAGACGCACCAAGTAACGCGAGCCGCTTTTTGCTCTTCACAGAGCAAATGCGGTATCCATCGGGAAAACAACTTTTTTACACCTAATTGTTCATGCAAGATTATTTGTATTTGACTCATGCCAATGTCTAAAGTTGCCTGAATTTCGCGGTATGTCGCATGTCGATCTGCCTCAATCAGCATACGCACAGCATCAACGTTTTCTTGGGTGATTGCAGTTTTTGGACGACCTTGACGGGGATCATCACTGAGCTTGACACGTCCACGTTGAAATTCAGCAAACCAGCGATAAATTGTGGTTTTGGATGGGGCTTCATCACCAAATGCAGAAATCATCCGGTTAACACACTGTTTTCTCGAATCAATTCCATTTTCTCAACGATTAAACAAGTTTGACAAAACCTTGTGACAAGACTGAGAATCTTTTTTTAAATAAATAAATTAATGGTATTCGATTTTTAAAACTAAGGAGTTTTCAATTAAATTTTTTTTAATATGACAAGAACAGTGGAAATATTCCATTCCCGATACTTTTAGTGCAGCCTAGTATACTCCAAAATCAGCAAAATTATGGACATACGAAGCTTAAATATTAGAGACGGCAAAAGGAAACTATTTGAATATATTCATAAACTGAACTATAACGAAACCGAAGAATTACTTAATGTGCCTCGTTAATTATACTCAACCTCCTACACACATGCACACACTATCACTCTACACACAAGGAGGCTTACCTACACCCTACAACTATAAATTAATGATTAAATCTTAATGGGAAGAGCGCTGCTGTCTGAAACACGGATATTAAGTTATCTAGTTCAGACACAGATGTTCACTAAATTGTATTTATTGTTAAGCTGTATCTTAAAGTGTTTGTATCCTAGAAATTAAGATATTCTTTGTTTGCTTTGAATAAATAAATAAATAAATATTTAGAGCAGAGAAAATGCGTTCACATTTGGCGTTCGATAATGGTAAACAATCAAGCATTTGTTTTGAAATTTACTGATGTTTCCTTTTTGGTTTATTGTCAGCATGACATAACTTACATACTGAGGCCCAAAACTCTTCAACTTTATTAACAGTCTCTCTGCTACTAGTACTACATAACAAGTTAGCGACCTCAGTGTTAAGTTTAAGTTCTCTAAATTCATTGTCGATTTGTTGAATCACAATGTTTAGTTGGGGCACCATCAAACAAACTAAACTAGTAAGTTCAGCATGTACAGCAGTTTGGGGATCTAAGAAGCACATCATTTCAAAAATATCGTCATCAAATGGTAGCCTTGTTTTAACCGCACACGCAAAGATCTTAACAATTCTTGACACCTTTTAAAAATATCTTAAAAAACCATTGTTTTAGTATTTGAGCGCGATGTGATTTGAATTTTCGGCAAAATTAACACCCAAATACAAATTGCTTTAGGATAAATCATTTACGGAAGGATTGGGGTCAATATTCTTCATTGATGTAGTTTTTGCATATTGGCTCTACATATAACGGCTCAAAATGGAGACAAACATGTCACTCACAACTGGCATATCATTGTATAAGCGATGCACGACAGGGTAATCTCCTTGGAAAATCCTGTTGAATTTATTTATGAATTGTAATATATAATCAAAGAAATAGAAATATAGTTTTATCGTTTCGTCATTTAAGGTATTTTATAGAAATTCCGCAGATGCATTAGAGTTTCTATCTCCCAAATACTGTCCCTGAAAATATAATTTCAATGCTGACCATTGTTGTAATATTCGATTAATACAACCGTAAAGGG